GGTGGGTGGCCAACTATATTCGCTCTTGCGAAGAGTGTCAGCGCAGAAAGCCTGCACCTTCGAACAGTGCGCCACTGAAGCCACTGCCGATTCCAACGGATTGTTGGAAGTCGGTCAGTTTGGACTTCATGTTTGGCTTACCGCCTGACCATAAAGGCAGGACGGGGCTCGTCGTCTTTGTAGAAAGACTGAACAAGATGGTGCATTTATCATCATGTAGCACCAAGATCTCAGGAAAAGAGGCTGCCCTCTTGTTTCTGGATCACGTTTATCGACTACACGGGATGCCCGAGTCCATAGTATCGGACCGGGATCCGCGTTTTACGTCGGGTTTTTGGCGACATGTGTTTGAGCTGCTGGGAAGCAAGCTCCACATGTCAGCCGCTGATCATCCCCAAACTGATGGCCAAACAGAACGTGCCAATCGAGTCGTGGCGGATATGTTGCGTACAGTAGCGACTCCCAAATAATGGAGCACGCAATTGTCATTCGTGGAGATCGCTATTAATAATAGTGTTCACGCCAGTACGGGTGAAACACCGTTTTACATTAACGGACTGCGTAATCCTCGAACGCCAGTCTCGTTTGTACGCAGCCCGAGTCTTAGTGGGGGAGGGCCCCTCACTTCGCTCGGTGCGAATGCCAAAGAGGGCCAAGGTTCCCTAGTGACACTGCTAATTTAGCAGTGGTCACGACACCTATAGGAGTCACAGAGGAGGCACGGCAAGAAATGACAGTTCTCCCTGACGATGACACTATAGTGTATCAACAGCGTCGACCCATGAACGACCTCTTGAAGGCGTCATAGGCGAGCTGGATGCTAGAAGCGTGAGCGAAGCTCAGCGCTTTGTGGATGAGCGACAAGCCATCACACGTAAAGTCCGTGACGCGATGGCAAGCGCACAGGACAAGCAGAAACAGTATGCAGACCAGCATGGTCGCAAAAACAATGAACACTTTAGTGTGGGGGACAAAGTGCTATTAACTTCTGCTACCCTACCTAAACATGCAATTTCTGCACTACCTGGTGGTACTACTAATCTATAGCCCCGGATTATGAATCCATTTACGATGGTCGAGTACCTAGATTATAGGCTCACTTTACCACCGTATATGAAGACGCACCCCGTATGTTACGTGGGTCGTCTGAAACGGTATGTTGATCCAGAAGAGATCGCATATCCACATCGGTCTAACGAGATCGATGGTGACGTCGACTGTGAGTCGAGTGTCGCGGCCGATCAGGCGAAGGGGAAGCCGAAAGGCTCCCAGTATACGAACGAGGTGGTAGAGGACTCGGTAATCGAGGAGGACTCCGCGCTTGACGCGGATATCTCATCACCAGTCGCTCTAAGACGTACAAACGGGTCTTCAGGCGGTCATACCCTGACGGTCCCTCGTTCTCACATCGCGCAGATCCGAGTTCAGTCGCGAGACTTGACTCTCGATATCTGTCACCTGCCTTTACAGTGCAGCGAACTCAGCCAGCGACTGAACAGCAGCAGGGTAGGCAGCCGCGAGTAGGTGGGCGTAATCTCCACTCCTATCGGGCGCCACCTGTGTTGGTGGACACGGAAGGGAATACGCGCTTCCTTGTTGGAAGGCTGTTGGCCCACCGGTTTTTGAAGCGAAAGCTCCAAATCCTTGTCCACTGGAAGGGTTACCCAACGAGCTTTGACTCGTGGGACCCTGTGGACGCTTTGCGCGTCGACGTTCCTGGGTTGGTGGCTGCTTATGTGAAGCAGCACCAGCTGTCGTCTTTCTGCTAGGTCCGGATGGACCAGCAGAAGAAGCGTGGCAAGAATTAATTGGGGGTCGCTTACCACCCAAGATTTCATGCGCACGCTTCATGGCGAAGCTGATTCGCTGCGACCGTTGTTTCGTTGCATCTACATGCAAGGTAACAAGGCGCCGAATTTCAGCTTCATATTCGACGGCTGTTTCGTTAGAACGCAGCACGACTGGAATTGGGAAAGCACGACCAAGTGCTTTGCCCTGCTTTTTCCACAAAGGAAAGACGCTATAAAACTTATGAGCGTCAATAGTTGCACGCTGCAAAAGCGATGCACTAGACTCCTTCGAGTTTATCCACTCGAATGGAGGTGGCATTGGTGGCAAGCCACCACTCACGTAGCCTCCCTCGCGACGGCGGGCTAGTGAGGCCGAAGGTGTACTTGGTGGAGCTTTAAGCTCACCTGAGTCTGACCCTTCATTATAATTACCTGAGTCTGACCCTCCATTATAAATTGTCAAGACATCAGCATGAGGAGTCACATCTGACTGAGTTGCTACTACTCCTTTCGAAGTAGCGCGCTCAGTCTTAGTCGCTGCGCTCGTAGGCGCAGACGACGGAGTTTTACTTTCGCTTGTAGGAAGCATAGATGCTTCCTCAAGGACGGGTGCCTCAAATGATGGGGACATATGTCCTATTAATGCACTTTGCTCATCTCCACTTTGGGGTGATGGCAGTGGTGTAGTCTCATTGTAATCTACAATGAGAGATGGACCTTCATCCACATTAGGGTGAGATGGAAGATTCACCTTAGTGCCTGAAGCACTTTGCGACGGCTACGATAAATCGCGGCACGTTCGCTTAGTGCTGGACTGCATTAGTGCCTTTGCAGGCGACCCATCAGCCTTACCACGTTTCGGTGGCATGAGAATTGAGCAGACTAAAGCGGCGCGTTTATAACGGCTCGCAGTCTATCCGTCTCCTAGGCGATGTTTTACAAATGTAAAAATCGTTCTAAAAGGGGGGATGGTGTAACAGGGCATCTAGTTACACGTAAACATTGAGTAATATACTTAATGTTTGGTTTAAAAGTATCCATGATTACTTTTGACCTGTCACTTGGGTACGATACACAAATGTGACTCACCCTCGTGAATGTGATATCCATTTATGGACTCACATGGGAAGGGATGACGCTGGTTGAAGCTAGGCATCGCGACGTCTCAGAAGGACGTCAGTTGCGATCTTAAATTTAGATTTAATATCATGCGACAGGATACGCTCTCTAAAGAATCGCGTATCCGATCTATATACATATATAGCCAATAAGTAGTTAAGTTTATATTTTATTATAATTCATTAAAAAATATAGCTCAGTCTTGAATTTGCTAAACACCGAAGCACCATGCGCGAGAAGCTGAAAAAGCTTCTTCGTGACGTCGGTGCCTTCTTGTCTTAGAAGTTCGCTGCACTCTCGCTAAAGCGAGAGGCAACTGGTGGTACGACTTGACCAACCACACAACCACCCTCGCACGCGAAGGTAAGACGTTCTAACCGCTTCCTCGCTTGTGCTGAAGTTGTGTGCTAGTAGCACGAGGCAACTTCGTAGAAGTGCCCGTCTACACACGCTCAACAGAGAAAAGTCGTGAAAATGAATACTAGTGTATACAGGCGCTTCGTAAAGAAGCTTCCACGTACTACGTGGGCACACCTTCAAGCAGCGCGAGGAAGCGGTTAGACCGTCGTACCTCCGCGTGCGGTGGTGGTGTTCGTCGACCGCTTAAAGCCCCAAACCAACTATTGCCGTCCGTTTAAAGCGATTCGCGTAACAACAACTAACAAGTGCCTCACTCACGCAATAGCTTGTGCAGCTTCTCGTGCGCAGATACGATAGCAAATTCAAGCCTAATTTGTATTGTATAGAATTTAACTAAATATAAATCTAACTACTGATTGGTCAAATATACAAGATCGGATACGCATCTCCTCAGAAGCGTATCCTTACGTGCGAGCTTACATTATATGTAAGCTCGCTGATGACGTCTGTATGAAGCGTCACCATGACGCCCAGTCCCAACTGGCGTCATTCCCGTTGAATGTGAATCCATCCATAAATATCACATTCACGAGGGTTGGTCACATTGATGTGCCTCACCCAAGTGGCAAGCCTTAAGTACCTCGTACCCTTTTAGGCCTGCCCGTTAAGTATTCGATACTTAACGAACCGTGTAACTTTTAGCCCGTTACAGAAGACGGATGCCGGCTTTCATCCAGATCTTAGAAATCGCTTCGACATTTCCTTTTGCTCTTGGCTATTTCTTCTGGCTATTAGCAAAGATCGCAAACCAAGGGCAGCGAGATGATTATGCACTCCAGCAAAAGCAATAGTGAAGTAGCCAGCATCGCCGGGTGCATCATTCTTTATGGTTGCGCTCAACTTGCAGTTCGTCAACAAAGAGCGATGCTTTCATTTCGGCGTCGCCAATTCCTCTAAATGATTGTCTGGTATCCTTTCACGAGCGCATTCAATGTAGTGGGTGATGGGGAGTCAAACATTCTCGGTTTCGGCTGATCTGGTTCTATTTGAACAATTTTCTTTTTTCTTCTTAACTGAATTCCCGTGCTCGTGAGAGGTTATCGTTACAGCAGGAAAGGCATCTTCATTACTTTTTCAGTGAATATATATTTTTCGGAAGCATAGGCAAGCTGGATTCGTCAACAACGTTAATTCTAGGGTCGGTGCCTTGAGAAGGGACATCGTTATGGCAAGTCAAGAGTTGCCTGCTTCAATCCAATGAACATCTAGCAGTCCATCGCATAAGGAGTCTTCGCTGTCACTGGCCATAATCGCTAGATGGAAAAATGTCTGCAATGGGCTATATACGCGTCGCAAACCTTAACTACTTCCTATATTACTCAAAAAGGTGATGGGTGCGGGAGACATTTATCGTGAGTGCGGTTAACTTTCCCCATATGAATTTATGTTGGGTATTACTTATAACTTACGAAACTTGACACCTTACTAGAGTTTATAGCTTATCAGATGATAACTTATTGGAGGGAGATCTATATATACAGGTCCTAATACCTTTTTTATGACATAATCTGTGGGTAGTATACTATCAGGCAGCACAGTACTATTTACCTCCATTGTATTATTTCAAAGCTTCTTGACTTGGAATCCACCCTAGTATATCCCAGCAAAATTGTAACTTGTTCTCTTAACCATTTAAGAATACACTGCGTCAACTAGGAAGTAGTCGTTGTCTTAAGCCTTAGTTTGGTTCGCAACGCCAGCAATGCGTGCCTTGATCTCCTCCTGATTGCCGATATAGTATCCGGACAGCGGGGCAATGGCGTCCTTGTGCGGCACCGGATTAAAGTTTGCGTCCAGGTCGTAGACAAGAGGAACACCCGTGGGGATGTTGAGGCTCGTAATCGTGTCCTCTGGAATGTTATCTAGGTGCTTCACCAGCGCACGTAGCGAGTTGCCGTGTGCCGCTATTACGATCTTCTTTCCTTCCTTGATGGATGGAAGAATGGTCTCTTTCCAGTACGGTAGCATGCGCTCGCCCGTAGTGGCCAGCGATTCCGCAAAGGGCAGGAGCTCCTTAGGCACGTCCGCGTACTTGGGGTCGTTTCCTGGGTAGTACTGGCTGTCAGCATCGAGCGACGGGGGTGGCGTGGCGTAGCTGCGACGCCAGATCACGACCTTCTCGATGCCGTGCTGATCCACTGTCTCTTGCTTGTTTAGTCCCGTAAGCGCACCATAGTGGCGCTCATTAAGACGCCACGAACGGATCACGGGGATCCACATCAGGTCCGTCTCTTCTAGGATGTTCCATAGCGTCTTGATAGCACGCTTAAGCACTGAAGTATAGGCCAAGTTAAACTTAAAGCCGGCTTCCTTGAGTACCTTGCCAGCATCATGCGACTCGTGCTCGCCCTTGGCGGATAGAGGCACATCGTGCCAACCTGTAAACTTGTTGTCCACATTCCATTGGCTCTCGCCGTGACGAATTAAAACAATCTGATACTTGGCAGCCATTATGGATGATACTAGGTAAATAGCGAACTGATGGGCTGCTTCCAACATAAGAAACATAGTGAAAGCAAGAGATTTTTCGTTAAATATACATGTCGGTCATACATAATACTCTTCTGTCATTGGACAGAGCTCGCAAAAATAACGGGGACTCTGATGTAGCCAAATAATAATGGTACAAGACACGACACAGGAGGAGCAAATCAATGTAATTACTTGAAGTTATGAAGCTTGCTTGATGAGATTGCTTAGACGTTACATGTAACTCCTCTTTATGATTGTAGTAACTTCTTTGTTGAGTTAATTCCATCGTCTAACTCACTAGACCACTAAACTGATGGAATATCAAGCGCACGTGCATCCGGCAGCGTCAAACAAGAGTACTATCAACTAGGTAATACAGACTTGTTCACTTGGCATTTCGCGTCCGAGCTTGTTCATCGTGTAGTTGGGCAGCCTTTTAGCGCGTCGGTGCTTGCTTTAGTGTTTATTTGATAAGCATTATAAGTAAGCGACGCATATGACCCATAGAATTAAAAAGTGGTATCAGTGGTTACTTTTGGCTGTGTATATTCTCTATGTGCGACGGTAGGATCCTGGCTAAGCACGGATACATGACTGCAACGTATGCTTGCTCAAAGCTGGCCATGTCAGCCAATATGATCTTGCACATCAAGTCATCATTATTGTGGCGCACAACTCCGTCGTGTTGGGCTCACTTTTCTGTCAGTACCAATAAGTGAGAAGTTGGTACGAACTCGATTCGAAAGGTAATCGGGTTCAGAGTATGACAAAAATACATATTTAGACGTAAATTGTGGTCTCTATTCGCTGTGTTTTACACGACGAAATAGTTGTCAAGCTCATGTAAGCGATGGTAGCTCACATAAATAAGGACTAAACGACCTTGATTGGCTGAATGGCTCAGTGCTTGATTGTTCTAGGGTTTCTTACACAAAACTAGGTCTCACCTGGTTACGTATATTTTGTGTAAATCTCCTTCCACACAATTTCACTTTGTCGTTCAACTCTCTCCAGGAATAATGGACTGGGATGCAGGTCGCGTGTCGTCTGTCGGTATGGAGAGCGCACAGACATCCGACGCTCGTCAGACCGCTAGTCCTGCGTCTCTACAGCGTCGTCTGCTCGCATTTCTGCGTGGATTCCGGGTCGGACCAGTGTTCTATTACCGTGAACAGCTCCTGGCCAATGCGCGACGTCACCATTGGTTTGTAATCGTCAACGTCTCGCACGTGGCGGTCTTTGACCAGGAGCTACAAGATCTTCTTTTGAAGAGCCCAAAGGAACAACTGCCTCTTTTAGAAAATGCGGCAAAACAGATGTTGACGCAGCTGCTCGTGTCAGCCCAAGAGTCGTCAGTTGCCGCAATCGATGATTCGTCATCCGATCTTAGTGCAACAATAAAAGGACATGTACCTGATATCCAAGCAATTTTAACCAGTGATCAAGCTCCAGTGCCTCTGCGACACGTCCATGCACAGGAAATCAATCGATTGGTGAAAATTCCTGGAATCGTCATCAGTGCCACGCGCGTGCGCACCAAGTGTGTCTCGGCAACTTTAAAATGTCGCAATTGTGGCCATACCAAACGTGTTGCCGTTTCGGGGATGGGTGGGGTTAGTATCCCTCGCATTTGTGACCGTAACAGAGACCAAGACAATACCGTCGCTTCTAGTAGTGACATGTGTCCCAAAGACTCGTATACGGTCTTGCCGGATAAAAGTGATTACGTCGACCAACAAACACTTAAGTTGCAGGAAAACCCAGAAGTAGTACCGACTGGTGAAATGCCACGCAACTTAGCGCTGATTGCTGATCGTCATTTGGTGGATAAAGCATCTCCTGGTACTCGAGTCTCCGTTGTAGGAATTACGTCAGTCATTAATTCAGGAGGGAAAACGGTCGGAGCTGTAGCCATTCGTACGCTTTATTTACGAGTGGTGGGTATTGAAATTGATGAAGAAGGTGCAGGACGAGCCAAAGCGACATTTTCACCTATAGAAGAAGAGAAATTTCATGAAATGGCACGTGATCCCAATCTTTACGAGAAATTGGCTGCAAGTATTGCTCCATCAATTTATGGAGATTATACGGTGAATATGAAGAAAGCTATCGTGTGTTTATTAGTCGGTGGCTCGAGAAAACGACTACCCGATGGAATGATTTTAAGAGGTGATATCAATGTATTGCTGCTTGGAGATCCTAGTACAGCAAAATCACAATTTTTGAAATTTACAGAGAAAATTGCACCCGTTGGCGTGTATACGTCCGGTAAAGGTAGTAGTGCTGCTGGTCTCACGGCGTCTGTGATTCGAGACTCAAAAGGAGAGTTTTATTTGGAAGGAGGAGCAATGGTATTGGCGGATGGAGGAGTCGTTTGTATCGACGAGTTTGATAAAATGCGTGAATCAGATCGTGTTGCTATTCACGAAGCTATGGAGCAGCAGACGATTTCCATTGCAAAGGCTGGTATTACTACTATTTTAAACTCACGTGCAAGTGTATTGGCTGCTGCAAACCCCGTGTTTGGTCGTTACGACGACATGCGCTCTGCTTCTGAAAATATTGATCTCATGAGCACAATTTTAAGTCGATTTGACATGATTTTTATTGTGCGCGATATCCAGGACGACGCGAGAGATAGACAAATGGCTGCACACGTGGTGCGGATGCATACCAACGCACTCGTATCGGCGGCTGGAGATACCTCGACCGGCGAGAATGCCACCAGTGGCGGCGAATTTGAGCCGTGGTTGCTCAAGAAATTCATCACGTATTGTCGTACCCGTTGCGCTCCACGACTGTCGGTTGGAGCAGCGCAAGCTCTTCAAGATTTTTATGTTGGAGTACGCGACGATGTGCGTCGCATGCAGGGCGGCGAAACGACTATCCCCGTTACTGTGCGTCAGCTCGAAGCTCTCGTACGTATCTCGGAATCGCTGGCAAAGATGCACTTACTTAGCGAAGCCACGCGTGAGCATGTGCAGGAGGCTATTCGATTGTTCAGCGTGAGTACAATGAATGCAGCTAAGGACGGCGGCACACAAGGACTCTTTGGTGGTTTGCACGAAAAGGCCGAGGAGGTGGAGCAAAGTATAAATCGCACTCTACGTATTGGTACGCGCGTCGAGACCAGCGCTTTATACAGCCGTCTTGAGGCACAGGGCTACAACCCCAACGCTATCCAACGTGCGATCCGAGCTATGGTGCAGAAGGGGTCACTTCGACAGCTCAGCCAGTACAAGTTTGTATCTCGCGTCAAGTAATTTGGTTTGTTGCTTTTCGAGGCTAACGCGCTTCAACAATATTTGCGGTTGATACCTACCGTGTACTTGCAGTGCATGATAGCGATGTTGCTTCTTGTACGTCGACCAGAAGGAGATGACGCCGTGTACTGCTCAGCTTCAGTATCTTCATTGTGGCACCTTACCTTTCCATGTTGTCGCTGTGTATTGGCTTCAGGTATGCGACCTCCGCGAGAAGTCATCACCGATGCGTACCTTTTTGCGATATATTTTCCAGCGAATTGTATATTACCAGTCGTTCACAGGTCACTCCATAATTTATCAAGTAAGTGTGAAGGTGAGCACTGTTGTAATATGTTCACAAGAGAGATTGCAACAAGCACCACGGCACTGGCGTCCACGATATAAATGAATGCGTAGTCGTCAAAGCTATCGATGTCAACTTCTCCTAAGTTCACCAAGACAAAAGTTTGTATACCGTAGCAGACGCTGAAGTGACAGAAGTTTGATTCCTACACTCCACATGGCGGTGTAGCTTTGGTTTTAGCGCCTTCAATAATTAAAAAAAATTGACTAGAGCTACTGTTGAACATTCACCAAGCGTCTTAGTTCATTCACGAACTATCTCGTTTCATCCTCAGTGCCGCTTTACAACAATGGCGAAAGAAAAATACTTTGCAATTCCATTACATAAGATAATGCTAGATATATATATTTTCCAAGTTGCAGTCGATGTTGTGCTTCGGATCGATTAGATGATGTTATGATGGGCATCTTAAGTCCTGCACTTGAATCCACACGCTCATTTATCGATGGCCGCAGCGGATCTGCAGTGCTTTCGATCGCTAAAGGACCAACTTCAGAAGAACCAATTTCTCTCTGTCGCTGTAAATTAAATGGAGCTGGATGTTCGCCATCATTTCATAAGATTGGTCAAGCGAGAACCGCGGCCTACATCTACGTCGAAGCAACCGATATAAAGTTGCTTCCGAACGGCAGTCGATTAGGCTACTGGCTTCTGCATTCCGTAGACTTCCTACAAGCTCATGTCTTGAAAGAGCGTGTTCGCGCGAAGCTATCTGTTTGCTTTTTTTTCGTCAAGACCGTCTCGTTCTACATGATGGGGATGATGGAACCTATGACCGAAGGCGTTCGTCGGCTGATAGCTCCTGATTTCGTTAACAGGCTACTATCCTCACTCAATACGCACATTTACGGAGAAATGAAGAAATTGAGACAAGCTCTTGGAGAACGATACGCGGAGCTGAAAATGATCAAGTCTCGGGATCCTGATTACAATTGCACAGCTTGTAATAAGAATTTGGGGCGCTATGGAAAAATCTTGGGGCGATACAGTACCTGCAAATGGTGCTTTAGATATATGTGTGCATTCGTGCAAATTTGAGAAGGAAATGAGATTCGTGACAGACCTCAAGATACTTCAGCGAAAGGTTACGTTTTGTTTCAAGTGCGTGAATGACACGACGATCTATTGGATCATCAGTATCATCATCTGGATCCGGCACAATGCCGAAAGATGATCCGGAGTCAGTAGTGTTTTCTTCTTCTCTGTTTGAGCCTGATCGTCACGAACTAGGCGAAAACAAACGAATTGCCGAATTATACAACTGGCGAGCGACAATCTGTGGTAAAATGTTACAACACCTGCAACCTTCACAAAGACTGGTGCTTTCGAGAAAAATTCACGAAAACACAGTTATGCCCTCAGCATAGTCAGCAGATCAAACCAGACTGTAATCCCTGCTGGGTGAAGTATACAGGAGCTGTCACGATGCCTTTTGTTAGCTTACTAGAAGTGAGTACGTTTATACCTATGTAATCATTCAACGACCAGGACAATTGAGTAAGGGTTTGACCTCCGATCATAGCGGCAGGAGGCGCACCGGCTAGTAGCATGATATATTCATAAAGTGACACGTAAGTCAGGATCAAATGAACTCGTAAGGCATTGAAATGGATCTACGATGACTACGGCTATGTCGTAGCCGTAGCCACCGTCTGGATTCCGAGTATTGTGTCGCATCGCGGATATCACAAGTCAGAAAACATCGGATGTAGTATTCGGTGCAGTACCAGTAGCTCACGCTTCACTATAACTCCATGTTTCACTAGATTGAGTCCAGCTAAATCGTATTTTCTAGGGCGTCAATCGTTTCAGCCTTACTTCGGTGGAAGTTTCAACACCTTCCCCAAAGACTCGTATGGGACTGACGATGTAGGTCATACTCCTGCTGGTTCAACAATGGACAACCTAGTTGAATGATCAACTCCCAAGTCATTAAATAATATTGAAGCAGGATGTGCCGCATCGTCAACCTTGGTCTTCATTTGGAACGAGGAAGAAGTCAGGATCACTTTGAATTTTGCTTCGCTTTCAGCAATCCAAAGAACTTTAGCTGCAGATGGTGAAGGGCCGATTCACCGTCAACCCGTTTACGGAGTTGATTCTTACACCTTCTGACACTAACACCCTTCACGAGATTTCCAGTGCCGTCCTTGCCTGGAATCTGTCACGATATGAAGATTTCATCGAGGTCGACAAAGGTGAAATTGACCAGAATCACTGGAAACTTGTCAAAAGTCGAGACAATGCCCGAGTTTTCCAGGGGAGGACGGAAGGCCATACTCGCCATGGAATGCCATCTCATCAAACTGCTGAGGCTCTGTCGGATCTGCCATCGTTGCTCTGCGTCGGCACTGCGATTGGTGAAATGGAAGACATGATGTTCGGTGTGATAAACCCGACACTCGAGATCATGCGGATCAAGGCTTCGTATGTGGATGACGTGAGTGGCGCTGCAATCCTTGCTAATATTGTTGACCCAACAGTAGAGAACCCGTTCAACTCCCTTGTCGTCAAGTGGATGGAAATGGATATCCCTCTCCAGTCGATGGGTATTGTGAGAAACCGCGACTATATTTACGTTGAGGCTACAGGCTTTGCGCATCTTGCTAGCGGCGAGAAAGTGGGGTATCATATCTTGCACTCGGTTGATTTCCCAGAGACACACAAGCTGCCAAATCGAGTTCGTGCAAACCTGTCCATCTGCAGCTTCTTCCGCCAACTTCGACCAGATGTCAGCGAAATCTTCGTGACTGGTTTGATGGATCCGGGTTGCGGCATAACCCGCATGCTGGTCATTCCTACAATGGCTAACGCATTGCTGGCGACGTTGAAGTATGCTCATTGTGGACAGATGAAGAAGTTGCAGCACACACTGGAGATGCGCTATGCAGAAGCAAAGGAATTGGGCACGCCTAACCGAGAACACGTCTGCATAACTTGCAATGCCCCAATCACGAACCGAAAATTTGGAGATTTCAGCAAGTCTGACGCAACGTGCAAACTCTGTTTCGGTTACGTGTGTCACGGCTGCAAGATCCAGAGGAAACTTAGTTTCGTGACTCCAGATCTGTTGTTGGCTCAGAGGGGGGTCACATTTTGTGCGGTGTGTCTAAACGATGCTATCAGAGCACCTGCAGCCAATGCAGCAAGAGCTCAGATAGTAACTTCAGCTAATGGAGTGTCGAAGAATCACTCGTACAAACACTACTCTTCAGAGACGAGCACCGTTTCTGAATACAAGAGTAGTTTTGGGTAGCTTTCTCTTTTACTTCGCTGCTATCTGCCGCATCTTAAAGCACAGCTTTTACATGAGCAAACATTGTGTGTGTATTTGTTCGCTTTAAATATTAAAGAACCGTGATAATGCAATTCTCACCAATTACGAAGGAGGAAGCAGGCGTTGAACGCGACTAAGTACCTGTCAGCATGTTCTAAGCTATCACATTCACTCTTATTGTAATAGTCGCAACTTTGTTGGCTAGAGCGTCGATCAATTGCTGTCGTATCATGAGTATTTGACTAGGTAAGTTGTTTATCTTTTCGACTTCAATGTTGGCAGATATCTCTCGACAGCACTTGATTTCGAGGTTTCCGTCATCCAAACACTAGAACTATCGTGAAGGCCGATTCAACGCAACCCCGTTCACACCTGTTTGCTTTAGACACTGAAAAGTATATCACGTGGTATTCTCATTGCTGAATGCTATGTCATACATACCTTTTTCGGGGAAGGTACTACCCATCATCGAGTCTGCGTTTTATTAACGTCTGCGCCACGGCAAATCGTGAACGGATGTGGTCCTATCAGGATGCAAAGTAGGTGTTGTACACCCTTAAATACTTTCAGTAGCGAGAAGCATGTTATCTTTCTTGTCTGCGTTGTGTTTTTGCACGATTTTGTCAAGTTGTTGAAGGTGCTCAAAGCTCAGGTAAAGGCAAGACCAAACAAAAGGTTTCCAGCACTACACACGGGGCATTACACGACTTGACTCACACTCAAGCCAACTTCATATAGCAACTTCGGATCAACTAAACACGACAAGAACAAATCTTCATCTTATCTCTGGGACTTGAGTCTATTGTGTCTACTAATATAATAGGCAATAGGCAGCTCCACTGTAATGAAACAAAGACGAATGACACCTTCTTCCACTGCTTACGAGACACGAACTTTTTCCCATTAGGCTTCGGCATGAGGGACTAAATCGTGCCAGTCTGGCAATTGCCACTTGTTAAACTTGTCCACTATTTCCCTATCAAATATCCCGTTTATAGCAATCCCCAGCAATTTGCCTACCTCCTCGTTGCCCTTCTTGGAAAAGTGCAAACCGTCCACAAAATACGTTTTGCGCACGTGTTCATCTGGAAATGTTGTGTTAAAGTATGTATGCAAGTCCAGTACATGGACATGCTCAGCCGTAGCCAAATCAACACACACTTTGGCATATTTGCCTGCTGACGCATTGCTGCGGTCATTATCACGCATTGAATCGATAACACAGGGCGGTGTTATTAGCAGCACTTGACCATCAGGAGCCAGGAGCGGTTTCACCGTTTGTAAAATCTTTTGCAGATTTGCTCGATAGTCTTGTAGTGACACATATTGTACCTTGTCATGGCCGTGCTCTAGTGCTGCATCATTAGCTCCAAGGAAGATCGTGATAAAGGATGCTGAATAGTCGGTCTGTAGCTCTTTGGCATAAATGGGCATGGCGTACTTTTGTACCCATCTAAGAGATAGAGATCAAGATACACATGTTTAAACGATTATACTGTTTCAATGGATACAATGTTTTAACGGATAAAAACGTAAAATGATCGTACTTGGTGTTGTAACCCGAGAGACCGCGATTGATACAGTCGACCGAGCGCACATAATGATCCTGCAAAATGTTAATAAAGCCACTCGTACAAAGGCTGCTTCCCTGCTCGGTAATGGAGTCGCCAATAAAGTAAAACACCGGGCGACGCTCGCTGGATAGAGTAAGACCCATTGAAGTTATTTGGGGCACTTTAACCTGGTCACCAAAAATTGATGTAAGCTACATCTTTGAAAAAAATAAGCACACTGTTCTTTCTCTCGTTACTCGCATGGTACCATTTTTGTATTGCAAATCACGTCTGTGCTTGGGAATAGACAGACGCGATGTTGAGCCATTCCAAAAAAGACTAAAGCTTTCAAATGGTATCAGCCATGGCCTCTATTGTCTTGTCTCTTGCACCTAGCACGGGTACAGTCGCTCTCTTAACACCAGCACGGACGTTCTGAGCCTTGATACAAACGTCATCGAAGGTGAAAGAAGTGACGTTCAATTCCGACGACAAAGACGCACGCGTTAAACGAGTCGAGTCACGAAACAACTTTATCATCTTTTGTTTAATATTTTATCAAAAGCCATCGTGGCCAAATTTGTGACTTTGAAGCAACAGCAAGTCCATGGAGAGACGTAATGTGCTAGTGGCGTTTATAGCTCCACTAACACATATACGTCTCTCCATGGACTTGCTGTTGCTTCAAGGCGGCTTGTATCGCCTTTGAGTTAAGAAACTGCAGTGCTCGATCGAACGTCTTCTTCGGTATGATTCGGTGCTACCTACGTAGCCTTTAAATAAAGTGATACACTGTCATGCACACTGTCACACTGAGTCCATCTAGGTCGCTTAAGGTCCTTAGTCGTCTCGACTCACTTGCTTTCAACTTGGTTAGTAGCCGTCTAATTACCAGAAGACGTACATATAGAGCAGAGTAAACTCAGTAAACCTTTCTGTCCTCCCGCCACCGAAGTGTAACCACGATGTCCAGGCATATCCGACGTCTGTGCCCTTCAACAACTTTAAAGAAGGCACTATTCGTGGTCATCAGCCTTATCGACATAGCAACGTGGCGTTCTCATCAACTAAACTACAAACAAGGCGTGCATCTCCTGGGTTTACCGCTCTCGTCAACTTGACGACACTTGCAATTTTCATTACTGTAGGCTAATTAGCTCTAATAAATGCTGCACTGAGCTAGAACAGCCTCGAAAGCCATCACTGCTGTGGTACTGGCTGCGCCGTGCAGATATGTTGGTGTGGGGATTGAATTAATCGATTTCTTGTATTGTAATAACCTTCAAGAGTCTTGAAGGTCTCAAGAGTCTTGAAGACAAAACTGATAAGAGTGGCTTTGCTTTCATCTAAATCAAAGACGCTTTAATGCATCGATACCTTGCTGGAAGTTCCGAGTTTAAACCGATCCAAAGTGTTTTGTAGCGTCACGTGATGGTACGAAAACAGAGGACTTTGATCCTTCCTCCTTTTCGTCCACGTTCTGGTAGCGCTGCTAACGCTTCAAATCTATCTCCTTCGCCACTTTCCTTCAGCAGCAATAGCTGACTATCGACAGTGATGGCGTCTTCATCTTTGTAGTCGAATATCATGTTGATCTGATTGCCAATGTCAACGATTTGGTGCGCGCAGTGATGACAAACGAACTTTTCTTCTTTTTTATCTTACCTTGTCCAACATGTAGTTTATAGCATGGTCGATATCGTTCTGGAACAAATGAAGAGGTCGATAATGGCCAACACACATTCCACAGGCTTCTTGGAGGCATTGTCAAATACACAAGAAGGCAAAATGCTCTGTACAGGATCCAGTAATGTACTGACTACTGATCACGAAGAAAACTGTGCTTTCGACGAGGATCGCAGAGTTTCCATGGCGAAGCTCAGAAGGCTGCGAAGAACCGCAGAGCCTGAAAAACACGTAGTGCTGGACGATTAACGGAAACAGCTACACCAACATACCGATAGCTTTATAAAAAGCTTGAGGATTGTGCTTCGATGCAATTCGCATACTTCTTGCGCGTATGCAGCAGAGAATTTTCAACCTTTTCGACTTCGTGGCGAGCTTTTGTCAGAATTTGTTCGATAAGAACGCTTCGGGTCAATATCAGAGCTGGATCAAGGATCGAGTGACGACTCTTTTTTTTCAGGGTCATATTGTGCTGCTCCGCTCCTTCATTATCGCCTTATACGGAGCCACTGAAACAGTTAAAAGTGCTGTAGTTTACATCCTAGTAGCAAGGCTATTTAGTTAGCTACGTTGTCGGCTCAAGGAACCCGTGAAGAAAAAAAGTCTGTTTACGTTTCTAACAACGAAAGAGTATCATCATAGTCGATAAACAAGTAATCGTTGACGTCGACATATACATCTAGTACTTACATCCACATCATGAATTTTTTGTCTTCACATTAGTCTTCACTACTAAGTTGAGCTCCTACAGCCGGGTGAACCTCGGTTGTAGACCAATCTTCAGCTAGAAAGCGAGAAATTTGCTGTGTCATCAACTGCGACGGATACTCAACCAGGTAGTACGACGTGCTTGCAAGCGCAATGATCAAACACAATTGAGAAAACAGGCATTTAATTGCTTCATTCTTATAACCTTTCTACACAGCAGAGTGCACTACAGGAACTTCCCACTTCGGGGAGTGAATACTGACGTATGACTCCAGTGAAGCGCTGTCGTCTATTATCTTGCTCTCTTCGAGCCGTTTGCGCTTTTTGTGAACAACAATCACCACACCACCGACCACTCCCAATGCCACACACACTGCAGCAACAATGAAAGCCGTCGAGTGAAGACTATTGCTACTGCTTGCTTCTTCCTGAGCAAAAGCTATAGAAGCAGTCTTAAGTGATGCTGTCTTCGTCGTTGTGATGGCCGATTGAGGAATGCTGCCACTGGAAACAAATTGCAAGCTTCCGTCGGTACATTCATTGGCGGTTAATGACAACGTATCCTTCAATACCTCGCCGTTCATGCCTTCTATCGAAATGCTCACGGATCTCAAGTCCACCACACTTTTGCCGCAGCCGTCGATCAGGAAGTAGTACGCCGAATCGATTACAGATGTCTTCTGGCCGTTGATTGATAGACTCGTCACACCCGACACGAAGTTTGTCGGCTGCACTGCCATCCAAAACTCACTGCTGCCGGTTTTCAAACAGTACTGCACATTGTTCGAGATCGGACAGTCCACAAATTTCCACTCGATACTCAGCTTCGTGTTCGACTGGCCTGTGATACTCTCAAACACGTCCGGCGACAGATCCAGGTCACCGTGCGCGCAGCCCGGACACTGGTCCATGATGTAGACGATCTCTGAATGACCGGAGCACGACGCGTCGGTGCACGAGACTTCTGCGCATCGACCGCAGTTCATGCTTCCTTCCCACTGCTCGGCGTTAAGGGCGGCATACTTCGTGACGGCATCTTCAGGCCACCGCATGAAGTTGCAGTTGCCATCAAAAGGGGAGCTAAGCGAGTAGACAGTGCCGTAGCCGTTGTAGGTGATTGATGCGGACACCTTGGCAAGCCAACTACATGACGCAGCCAGCAACAACGTAATGACCATTCGCTGCGAAATCATCGTAGTACGTGCGAATGCTGCAGCGAAATTGGAAATGATCGGATTGAAACACTTGTCCTGCTTGGCAGATCCATGAAGCGGCAAGTGTCCAATCTATCCAACTGAGACGTCTGATGTGAGTTGAAAGGGTCATGCGTGCAACCATTTTCTTGCGGATCGTCTTCTTGCGCAAGCATTCTGCTTGGTCTGCTTCAGAACCGGAGACCGTCTCTGTTCAAGCCACGTACGTCGTAGTGGTACTCAGCTCAGTAAACTTGCGGACGGGTGGCTGTGAAGATGGGCAGATGGCCGACCTACCGACATTGCGTGGCGCGTGAGACCAGACAATTTTGCTCTGATAGCTTGTTAATGCATGAGTGGCTTGTTGTAAACACGGATGGTCCGTCTACGCTCGCAATTGGGATACTGTCGCATTGATACTTTACCAACTCATGAGTGACGCTAGCTTCCTTCTTTTACCAACGACCTTCTAAATCGCGAGATGTATTGGATGCAATCTTGATGAACAAAAGACGCTTTGCACGTGAAATGCTAGTACGTCATTGCAACTCTTTGCTTTAGTTGAGCAGAGGAAGGCCAAGAAGTTAATGGAGACTTCCACGAATGCCGTTACAGTGACGTGTTACTCGAAGCAGGTCATAAGAGATCTTTATCACGGTCTCTACACAACATCACGCGCTTGGATGATCTGGCTTCACGATGCACGAACTTTCGAGATAAATGTCTACGTTTTCTCTTTAACTATGCTAGATACGTGGTATCACTGAGCAGATTTCAAGTTTACGCTCAACTCCATCGAGGAGAAGGAAATAGTAGGTTGACGAAGCATCTGATGAAAGAGGCGACATCTCTGTGTCGGAAACACAGTTCCTTGATCCATACTACGCTTTACGAGTCGATCTGTGCTTTACGACAAACACGTAAAGTGACTGTTTTCACCATTTTGATGATCTGTACGATCATCAAAGGTGTCTGGTGAGAGCAGTCAAAACTTTGCACGTTCGACGAAATGTCGACGTCGATGTTGACAGCTGCATTGCTGAGCTTAGTGCAGTCATTGTCGCGTGGACGACTGGTTATATATCGTTGTAAGGTTGACAAGCAGCAGAAAAGTCGATCTGCTTCAGGATCGAATAAAGCTTGACTTTTCTGATGAAGTTGCACCGTTTCCAGAGTGAGCATTGCATATGAAGGAATAGTCGAAAAGATCGTCGCGGTCGGAGTAGCATTTGGTGTACCACTATAGGTGCGAAGTAGGTTTCGACGTTTGTGAAGCTGTGGTCGGACTCGGAGTTGATGCTGTTTTTGTCTTTGTGGTGGCCGATTGAGAAGTGTCAACCACTGGAAACCAATTGCCAAGTTCCGTCGGTACATTTATTGGCGGTCAATGACAACGTATCCTTCAATACCTCGCCGTTGATGCCTTCTATCGAATTGCTCACGGAACTCTAGTCAGCTACACTTCCTGCCGTCGGCATGATCCTTTGAAGACAATAAAAGGAAAAAAGGAAGAGCATTCGGAACGACGGCCTCTTTCAAGGCTCTCGTATGTCATGCATGAGATCTGTTTTTTAGAATAGTGGCAAGGTTCTTTGACCTGACACACTTTGTACTTCGTTTTGAGAGCTCCGACATCAAAGCTCACCACTGGTGACTCCATTTGAGGATCCCATCTCAATTGCTGCATCAATACTACGATTTTGAATACCGCAGAAGGTGTTTTGGCGGCCCTGTCCAGAATGCTTGCTTACTTCTAGGAATATCAAGCATTTGCTATACGCTTGCGATAATTTGTCGAGTTCGTTATATATCGTCATATTGTTTGCACTCCTGCGCTAGATCAAATGATAGCAGCAGCATATTTAACCGATGGATTCTTGCAGTGGAGACAGTAAGACATGATACATATATATATATATATATGATCGAACAAGCCACCGCAAAAGGAACGGAAGCTTCGGACACAGTCTTATTAAGACGCAACGCCACCATCGTTTGAAATCTACTTTCGACTGTAGTAGCGGTTCCCATGACACTAATCTTTACACCAAATTGATTATAACTGCACATACACTACAAGCTTTTGAGGTCACAGATATAACAAATTGACCGACTTACGTGTAAGCGGCCTTCATATGGCCACTTAGCGTATGTCTTGACGCGAGCAACTAGCCAGATTTAGATGCATTGTCGCAAACTTGATTGGACTCTAAATCTTGGCGATGGTCGCGTCAAAGCGCACCGGGGAACTGAACGTATCGAACGATCGCATCATGGCCATGTCTCGATCCATCCGCTTGTCGTCCAGTTTTTTCTTCTTGACGACAGAGACGACAGTGGCAAAGGCGATTCCACACACAACCGCCAATACGATAAAACCGACGACGACCGTACTCGTTCCCGATAATTTAGATTTTGCCTTGGTGTTCACGTGCTCAATGTCTGAAGCAGCAGGCTGCTCGGAGCTTTCTAATCTCTCTTCCTGCTGAGCTGTAGACATCTCTTTGACACCAATCTCACTTGTCTGACGAATTCTTACTTTGCTTCCCGACTCATTGGCCGCTACGACCGACCCTGACTTGTACTTGGAGCCACTATCAGAATTTGAGTTCGCGTTGAGCGAAGCAAAATTGGTCACTTCACTCTGCTCCTGCTGCTCCGGTTGCCCCTGCTGCTCCGTTTGCTCCTGTTGCTCTTGCTGCTCCTGTTGCTCCTGCGTCTGAGACTGAGACTGAGACTGATACTGAGATGAGCCACCTTTAGTAAAAGTGTACGACGACGTCGTCGACGTAGCAGTGTTGACCGTCGGTGCAGTAGCCGTAGACACCGTCGGTGCAGCAGCCGTAGGCACCGTCGGTGCAGCAGTCGTAGGCACCGTCGGTGCAGCAGTCGTAGGCACCGTCGGCGCTGGGGCTGGAATCGGAGTTGGTTGAATAGTCGGAGGCATCTGGATGGTCGACGTTTGGGTCGTGCTTTCTTTAAAGTTGGTCGTCCCGACAGTGCAACTATCAGACGTAAGTGATAAGGTCTCGGTGATAGTCTCGCCTGCGACTGACGTGATTTCAATGTCCACTGCTGAAATATCAACGTTTGTTCCGCCATTCAGTAAAAAGAAGTAGCACGAATCCACCATCGTCACTTCTTGGTTGGCAATCTTCATGCTCGCTACACCAGTAGCATGGTTCGTAGGCTGCACAGCCAGCCACGAACTGCTGCTACCACTTTTGGTGCAGTAATTGATGTTGCCACTCACGGGACAAGGTACAAATTTCCATTTGATAGTGTATCGAGACGGGTCACTGCCTGTAAGTTCCTTGAATACTGTCGGGGATAAATCCAAGCTGCCTTTCGCACACTCGGGACACCTATCGACAATGTAAACAATGATGCTGTTCTTATTACTGCATCGAGAATCATCACACGAGACTTGGGCACATCGTCCACAATTAAGTGTCGAGTCCCATTGTTCATTGTTCAATGCTGCATAGTTATGACCGACCCCGGGGTCGTACATGAAGTTACAATTGCCAGCCGATACTTGACCGAGAGTGTATGCGGTGGCATCACCTGAAAAGTACTCGCTATCAAGTGCAAATGTCATTGCCGGCATCATCATCGTCAATAGCGATAGCTGTCGGAACATTGTTTTTCAACTACTTTTGATTCTTCTGCCTTTAGTATTGAAATTTATTATGTGAAGTGATAGGACGAGCTCTTTTGACGAATGCAATGGCTTGAGGTGATCAGTGTCAAGGGATTTTCTGGCTGTGGAGAGGAGCCGTCGAGCTTTGCTAGTGTCTGGTCCTTTGTACGAGACAGTAGGAGGACATACTAAAGTATGTTAAAGTTAGTATCAAGCCAACCGAATGACGACATGCCACATGGTGCAGCTGATACGTGCCGCTCAGAGCGACTGCCAAACAAAAGTGAGCGATTATACCCTTCCATGTTCGATATACTCACGTAAAACGATACGTCGGCAAATCGACTTTGAATTGAAATCATTACGTAGCAGACCTGTAAGACATTGGATCAATTCAGCAGCATGACTCGAATCGGTCGAATAAATGATGTGCTTGTTGTTTGTACGTCGAACAACAACAACGGAGTAGATACATATCTGGCAACAGTCGGAGGTAAACATTCATGCAAGATCAAAGGAATTGACTTGTTGTGGAGCATGACTTATATATTAAAAGTCAGAGAAAGGATGGTAGGATAGATAGGCTACTGTACATCGTTATTGCACAGACTAACGCGTAGATTTTGAGGCCACCTGGCCACCGTCAATCGCAATAAAACTTGTGATTGTGCATAGGGAATCGCTACGATTGACAATATTGCTCGATATGTCGGCACCATGCAGAAAAAAAGCGAGATATGCTTGTCCTACATACAACCCAACAACAATGTCTTGGTCGATTATACATAAGTAATAAAAACAGACTGTCTACTTACCATTATGGTTACAAGATTTCTGAAGAGTTTGTAGTTATTCTAGTACCCTAGGGTAGATGTCTCCTTTCCGTTACGAGGGCTGTGCAGTGCCGGCTGCCGGTTGACGATGGTGTCTTGGAACGTTTCCGTTGGTAGACGCCATTTGCTCACATCCTTCTATCTCTCCGTTGTTTCTTGATAGCGACCGCTCGAAGTTGGCGGAAGGACTTGTGTGACTTTCGCTACCTCGTACTCCGTGACACTTCTTGTTTATACAAGAGCATTTGCAGACGATACCTTCCATCGCATCCGCTGCGTGATATTGTATGCCTACAATTTGAACGCACTGACGCAGTATGTAGGAGTCCTTCGTGTTGCCCGGCGCAGGTTAGATGCCTCTGTATGTCGCGTTCCGGGATGTACAGAATCAACTGATGAGTAACTACTCTGTAGCAGACCCAGACCTGGTATTTCGTGAGAGTGTGTCCGTGTTCCCACGGTAACGGAAGAGTGGGTGCCGTCCTGTGAGCCGTCTCGGGTGTTATAGCCTAGTGGTTCATCGCCGTAAGTGCACAATATAGCTTTCGATTGGCGCGATGGAACGGTTGGTATTGTAGCGCCTTGAAAGCGTGCAGATGTTGATGGAAGGTGAGAGGCTCCATGAGACCCATGTAACTGCTGATGCGCTTGAATGCAAGCGCCGTGTTTCGTGGTCTTATAGTAGATTCACCAGATGTGCTTGATGATCCAATGGACTCCGTTGTTCGCTTGAAGAAGGAGGTTAAGGCAAGGTTGCCGCCAGTATGTGCTTGCTGACGCCAAGCCCCTGGCTTATAAATGTACACGTGTACTTGTTCAGTACCTCAGGTCCGTTCCGCGGTGTTACCTGAGCCGATAAATGCACAACTTCTATGTCAAGAGAGCCACGCGGCGGCACGGAGGACCTTTGCCAACAAGAAAGGTTATATGAGTAGCTCATTGTCGTCTTGATTACAGTACAATCGGTTGGCAGGGTAACAAAGTCGCTTGTGTAGGAGCTCTGGCTGGTACGGTGCTGTGAGTTTGATAGAGAAGTGGCCGCCATTCGAATACGAAAGGGTTTGCAATTGACCGGGAAGACTGCCCGTTAATCCATTGCAGATTGTTCTTTTCCCAGTTCATGCCGCTTACATTACTATTGTAGATTATCCATAGTCCGTTCCAGGCGAAGGCCTAGTCGAATAATTTGGGCTTGTCTAAGCTGTTCTTCTATTGTCTGTACAACTCTCTTGCGTTAGCAGGCCTTGGCCCGGATCCTCTGTCAACTTCGACGTGCCCTCTGCTATTTCTTTCTTGGTCTATACTTGTACCGGAGGTGATGCCCAGTAGGCGCTACAATCAGAGCACTGCTAGTACACCACCTACACGTATCACCGGCACGTATCATGAGCAACTTCAACTTCCGTTCGAAAGTCCGGTGGGGCATGTGGCCGGTCAATGATGTGGGGGTCGCAACGGCATTGAGATTGCCGAATGGTCGCTTCTTTACGTAGACGACATCTTTAGCCTGTCACAAGCTGAGCTACTAAGACTTGTTCAGCACTTGAGGACGATCATGACGATTGGTGTCGTTCTCAGGCTTCTACAGCTGTCAGATTATTATTCTACTTAGGTCGGTTGAACTTGCTCGCTGTCAGCGTCTTGTGTCAATATTACAACGTACAAGAAAGATCTTGCATATCTGCTTAGTATCGTAGTCTTACGTCGAAGTCATGATAGTGTAGTTTTACCATGTCTTCGACGTACGACTACACTCTCAAAGACTCAGTACCAGCGAGTACTATGGAGTGAAACAGAAATGAGCGGTTTATGAACCCGTTCAAGCCGTAAGACTTATAGCCTGAAGCTGCTTCGAAACTTTAGACGCTAGCACATGCTCGTGTTGGAAAGTCACATGCACTTCCTTCGTTTTGAAAAAAGTATCGTGCATAAAGCTTATGTACCACAAAAAACAACGTAAAGTCGTACACTGACTGACGCACTTGGTTCTCGTCACCATCACGTGAGCAAAGTCTTGTCGTTGTTTGCATTCACTATCAACGTCAAGATCAAGCTCCTGATCGTTCTTGTAGCCGGCACCATTAAAGGTACATCATCTATGGCCTCGTGTGTAAATGATGCATCGTACATCCAAGACCCTTTGCATGTATATTGGCATCCGGGGGGCAACTTCTAGAGCGGAGGACTCGGTTTTTAGTCAGCGTCATGTGGGTCAGTATGATCATGAGTTACGGCTTTGGCTACACTGAGGTCCATCCACTCGGTACTTTTGCAAGCACTGAGCGCTATTGGGTACCAGCTTGAGCGCTCGTTATACAACAACGTCAACGTCGAAGACGTGTCCATCATGAATTTTCTTATTCCAGCTACCGCGCTCCCTTTACTCCCATTCGGCTGCTGAGCTGGTATAGAGTATGTATTTATGGCAATAGTAGACAAGTACGCATATAACACTGAGCTTGTCGTACGTTTGATGTCTCTTCTCAACTGAGACAGGTTCTGTTTGCATTTACCACTTATGAAAGCCATCCAAAGAATCAAACTTGGTCGTCAAACTTGGTGATTGTTTTTGCTTGGAATGAAATGGCTCCATAAGTCCTTCTGGAGTAGACTGCTGATGAGATAATGCCTTCCTTCGAACTAGAAGCTGCTGTTTTGGGATGTAGGGATGCTGTGACTGAGCACGATCCAGGATGGGATTGACTGACGTATGGCGCATGGCCTGGCTCCATCATTCCATGTGCTGCAGAGAGAAGATTCTGTGGACGACTCGCTTTGACAAACACAATGTATTGGTCCGACCACGATTAAAGTCGAAAATGGTGTCTACTAATTCTATCGCTCTCAATCCTATGGCCGCGACGACGTGTGTAGGTTCTGGTCATGTCACGGTGGATTCGCCCGTGAGTAAACGTCTCACGTGTCCATTTCCAACATTGCAATTGTCTTCGGAGAATGCGTCAGAGCTAGAAACCCTTGCTCACAAATTAATAGTGTCCAGCATTAAGGAGTACGAAAGTTTTCTCCTTGACAACCATAACAGGGTAGACGAATTGCGTTGGAAGTTTGTTTCGTCAAAAGAGAATTTGCGTGCTTACGCAAAGCAAGCCCGTCCAATGAAATCTACACACTCGCACCAGGCAAATATGCCAGTAGCGGATCTACCCGTAGTGATGATTACAGGAACCATCGTCGGCGATCTCGACGATATCATGTACGGAGTCGCCTGTTGGACGACTGAGCAGGTGCGCGTTAACTTATCGTACGCCTATGACGAATTTCCTAGATGTGCTGTGCTTTCGACTCTTGTCTACCCGACCGTAGAAAATCCATTCAATATGGCTGCCATTAAGTGGGTAGAGTATCTAGCTCCGTTGGTGCTACGTCCTGTTATCAAGCACCGCGACTTTGTTTACATGGACACCACAGGCGTTGAAAGACTTCGTAATGGTGAACGAGTAGGATACCACATTGTCCACTCGGTTCAGTTTCCAGAGACTCCGACGCTAGACACCCACACCCGAGGCAACAGCTCCATAAGTATCTTGTATCGCCAACGAACCAAGAATGTCACGGACGTCTTCATCAAAGGATTCTTCAATTCGGCCGAAGGCATTATGCGCACCATGTTGATCCGTGCAACTACTCGAATGCTGTTCTCTGTTGCGAAAAGTATCTACTGCAGCCACACGAAGAAGCTGGCATGGGCGCTACGTCAACGACACAATGCAGAGGCTTCGTCTACAAGCTCCGGATGCACTGACGGTTCATCTTGTGCTCCATCGGACGACAAGCGCTGTTTTGGCTGTGGAAAAAAGCAGTCAGTTTTTGTCCAAGCTGCAAGCCAAATTAGCCGTGGCTCCAAGATCCTACAGAAGAAAAGACAATGCAAAATCTGCATGCACCACATGTGCGTGGACTGCAGGAGGCAACATCAACTCATCTTTTTGTTATCGGATCAAAGACTCAAGCAGCATCTGGTAACTATTTGCCGAAGTTGCGAGTTTAATGCATTATCAGAAAGCGCAGTTGGGATTGCTCGGAAGGAGATGCTATTGAGCAATCAAGTGCTGTGTTGGGACACCATTTCGGGTTTGCAGAGCGAGTAACTAGATATATAGACAAAGTAAAGTATAATGAGGGGGCAATTATTCAAGTTGCTAAGAACCCGTTCGCTACGTTGGAGTAGTTTGAAGTATCCGCGCCCTTGGTGGACGCTGTGTAACGGGGTTACACGACGGTTGTAACATCATTCCGAAAGTTTACGGTTGAAGTTTCCTTTTATTGCATATAATGCATTCTTGATACTTCTCTTTAGAGAGGTATTAAGTATAAGACGATATTCGGTAATACTGTATGTTATCGATTAGGATTCGATAATCGATTACTCTGTACTAAGTACATCATACACAGATGTTTAGACGATACGTCCTCCAATAGCAAAGTCTGCACATAATAATTACTATTATAGTAATTAATCTAGTGTAGTGTACTTAGAGTAGAACTGTTCATAAAATTTAAATGCATACACTCCCCAATTTGCGGCGCAGTGATCAAATCTGGTCACGTTGGAGTATAAAAGGAACGGTCTTCACTGGCTTACAAGAGAGAGCGTAATGAGGCCGCCTCACCTACCTCCTCCGGGAGGGGGGATGAAAAGGCCGAGTCGACAACGACGACAGGGAACGGCCCAGCCAACGGACAGGGCGTCGTCGACGACATACTGGACGACAGCTCAAACCGAGGCGCAGTTCTGGCGGCAGTGGCTATTCGGAATGACAACGGCGCCAAGGGTGCCGTGGAACCTGGTGGATCCATCTTCTCCGGCCAGGCTGTATCTCCGGCATCGGAGGTTACGGGCCATGGTGACAGTGAATCTACCACGCCTCATCATCCGGTAGAGCCGAGCAGCAGACATGCGCAACAGAAACAGGCGGTGACAGTGAAGGGTCCACCCGATACAAGGTAGGCTTCATCGACAATAAGGGGGGCAGAGGATCCAAATGACAGAGCTGGAGGATCTGTTGCCGCAACCCAGCCAGCACAAACCGGCAAATCACCAGGAGCGCAGGCGCCAATTCCGCTACACGCAACGTCGGCGGAAATGTTTACGGCTCTAGTGGAAGACATGATCGACTCGCCCAATGTGGGACAGGTCGACGCATGGTGCACGACAGTGCGACAGTTGTTTGCGGACATATACAAGACAGTCCCGTGTAAAGCGGAAGCACTGCCTACTGAAAGGAAACGCTTTCCTACCCTGAGCGTAGCGGAGACGGCAAGTCTGCTGGGCCTGTTTGAGCAAGTCTTTGTTAAGGGCAAGGGGAGCTTTGCGGAGTGGAAAATCATGGCAAAGGCCATCACGCATGAATTATTGACTACAAAGTGGGCGTTTAAGGAGATTATCCGCCGTCTAGCCAGCAAGCATAAATGGGCTCATGCCCCCGTTCTGAACCAGTGGACTCAGGTAGTCCAACATGGAGAGTCATTACCACGTCGGCAACCGGAGCGCGCCAGTTCTCAGACCTTTGATGATTTCATGTTTAATCCCGAGAAGTTCACATGCGCAGAAATTGAACGATTCAAAGCGATGTGTGCAGCGCCCGCAGCCCCGGCAGGACATCATCAAGTACGGGCAGGTACTGATGATGAATGGGCGATAATCGTCGGGTTGGTTGAAGGCACGGTGGCATGTCGTCGTATGCCTGCCTTTATCAAACAAGTTCTTAAGAGTGAGGAACGGCTACGTCTGTACAGCGCGATCCAGGCTCAAGTGGAAAGTGAACTATTTTTACGGTTGGATAAATCCCGAGCGGTTAAAGCGAACAGGCAGACTACAAAAGCAATTACGGAGGCAATATTGGAGTCGGCGGAACTTGCACGGATCAATCTTCATGCGCTACATCGCATGTTAAGTCAAACGAAGACGATAAGCTACGACCAAGTCACGAAATCGATTCACTTTTATTTCTTTACTAGGGAGACGGCAGAACACCACAAAGAGGTGCGAGTACCGTATTACGGTGGCGTGTACCAGCTCGTCAATGCCCACAGGCCAGAGAAGGGGTCGGTTTGGCTTCGGCAGAAAGGTCTTAATGGGACACCTACCGGGCGACGGGTGGAATACACGGTGCAGTTGCACAACCTTACCCGATTTAATGATATTGGGCGAATTGCGGCCTATTTAAAGGCAAAGATTCCAACGGAGTTTGACATGGAAGATATGGATACGCATACCCCGGATTCTCGGACGTCTACAATTTGGAGAGTCACCTTCAAACTGGCAGGATGCCCGACATTTTTAAATGGGGTGGTTCGGGTACTTTGGTTTGGCACAACCATCATCGTTAAACACCCAAACGTTGGCCACCGCATACAATGCCTGCAGTGCGGAAACCTGGGGCACACCCTAGCGCGATGTCGGTTCACCGACGATCAGTTGCAGGGACCTGGTGGTATTGTGGTGACCGAAGCAGATGTTCTTGATCTCGCCGACTTAGCCAAACCGTTTTCGAGTATAGCAGAAATTAAGGCTATGGCGGTTCAACGGCTGAAGCTCCAAAAGGAAGCGGAAGGGGCGGCCCAAGCAGCTGTAACACCGACTCGGGCCGTCGACGTCACTGAGACTTCTCCAGGGCACACTCTACCAGTGGTTCATGGGACGAGCAGCGCTCCTCAGGCAGAACAAGGAGCTAAGTATGTCCACCTGCAACCGGAACCATCCACCCCCGCGCAGCAACCGTGGCTCACGAAGGCAGACAAAGGGGGGCGATCACAATCACAGTGGGTAAAGAAAATGGTTGCAACTGCTGCCTCAGCATCAACGTCCGGAGTATATCAGGTGCTCATGGAGGACGACGACGAATCGGAAGGAAAAGTTGACACTAAGCGCAATAGCGTGGCGAAACCTTTGAAGTCACCTGTGGTCGATTTGACGACGGAATCTAATAAAGGACATGGCCACACCGAAAGGTCTCGTCTTTCATCCGACGACAAGCACCGAAAATCGGCAGCGACAATGCGCGGCCCAGCACCGGCTGCAACGGGACCCGTTATACTGACGCACAAGAAGAAAGAGAGAAAGACTTTTCAAAAGCTAGTCACCGGGGAGACGGTCACGAAATTTCCATCGCTGCCGATGGGCGCAAGATCGACAACTTCACCAGCAACATTGGCAGAGGTAGAAGTTCAGTTGGGAGTCCGTTCGGTCGTCACGCCGGCGACTGGAAATTGCATGGCTATGGCAATAGTACAGGCGGCAGCAGACGCAACTTTGGACGGACCAGGAAACACACTGGAGCTGCTAACTGCCAGCCTTAAACGAGGCATCAAATTTTCAGGGCTGTTAGATCTAGAAGGTCAACTCGCCCATGACCATCGAGTGCAGGCGCTTGCTAATGTTAAGCGAGGATGGACCTCCATGACGAGACAAGAGTCGGCCACACAAATGCGATGGTTCCTCGAGGATTTTGCTAACAGCTCTTCCAACAGAGCAGTGGAAGTAAGTGACGACACTTGGGGGGGAAGTGACACGGTCGGCATGGCAGCTAATTTTTTGCAACGGAAAATTTATATACTGCAGCAATCAGATGGCCCGAAACAGGGGTGGCAGTGCAAAAAATTTATACCAACCACGATCACACGCAATCGACGAGTTTTAGAGACAGCTGCGGAATATACACTGTCACTGATGGATTTAATAGACGAAGTCGTGGCAGCCAAGATCGAGAATCCCGGACAACCACCCCTGCTGCTGCATTTCTGGGGACGACATTACTCGGCGCTTCTCCATACTGGTCGCACCAGACAGCTCCCAGACTTTGCGGAGGAAGTGGAATGTAAGACTCCGGTTTCGACTGAGGACCTTCCTGCGGTAACGCACGCAAACTCGAGTAAGCCACACCTAGCGCTGAGGACGGCACCGGTGGATGCTCCGATGGAAGATCCATGGGACCCAGATTCTTGGAATGGTACACCAGACGCGGCTTGGGCCGCGTTACAGGGATGCTCGGTGCACCCCGATTTACACCACGATCTCCACGTGCTCTTTAGAATTGACGAGCCAACGCGGTCTCGGGACCTCATTAAAGGGGTAGTAACGGCAGCAATGACAATGGCACTGCCGGCTCAGCAACAGTTTGCAGCGGTATTAAGGGGGGCGGAAGGCGAGGAGGCCGAACTCGCTCTAACTCAGCGCATGCAGATTACGAAAGAAAGGTTGAGGCTTTGGCAATGCCAGCTTCAAGCGGCGGGCCACATGGCTCTTAACCTCGACCGTCGCTGTTTTCCTCCGGCCAGGGAAATCGCAGGTTTACTGACAAATGGCAACGGTCTGCATGATATGTCGAACACAAGCCGCACCTCAGTAGGGGAGTGTCAAGCTCTGGTACAGCACCAACCTACAGTGGGTCAAGATTTCAGTTCACTGGGCGTGCACGAGGTTTTACCAGCACTCCCCACCACGCCTACGGCGGGGGTACGAGACACTTCAGATGGTGCTCGAAAAAGAGGCCATTTAGCCTCCCCAGACGAACGGATAGTAACTGGAACTGTGGTGCGACACCAGCACAATGATGCTATTTTAAAAAAAGGACGACACGACACAATTACGTCGCAGATCACAAATGTGGACGCCTCTGAGCGCATAGATAGAGATGATTGGGCAGCTACGTGGGAGACACTAGCTCAGGGGTGGTCACATCCCGCCCACATCCCTTTCCCGACAGCTCAAAGCTCTACGATAGAGTGGCAGAGGGTAGCCCGGCATGCATCGGACCTTTTACTGTGGCATGTCAAGCGTTTCGTCTTTCCAGGGGAGCTCTTGCAGATGTTGGACGTGTCCGTTTTTGAGCACTGGATGACAGACAGTCGACTTTCATGTTTAACGGATGGGCTTAAGACGTATCGGAAACAATTAAAGGACCAGCCTACACAAGCATGGATTGATCAATGGATCGCTAATACGCAGCACCGCAGTCATCATACCAAGCTGGCGCCGCTAGTTGACAACGCTGATGATTGGAAATTACTCCGTGCACATAACTACGCGGGGGACGATGTACTCAAATTATGCGATCCCCAGCGTAAAACCCGGCTCAGTCAGCACTTG